GGGAAACCTTTACCTTTACCTTTAACACATGTATAGCATCTACAAATGTTGACCAGGTAAGTACATAATAAACATATTTAAGCCCTGGTCACATGGAGAATTTGCCGTGCAAAAGGCATGAATGTCGGGCAGATTTTCGGGGCGCGATCACACCGCAACATCTGGGAAGCATAGCATACCCGTGGCCAACCCAGTGGCGTCCCGCCGAAGATGCGGAGTTAAAAAGTACCAAGGAAAGTGCACTAATATCCGGAAAACGCGCGGCACATGCGGGTGTCTGATCGCGGGAGCGCTAGTATACCGTGGCATCCGGCGCGCATCCACGTCCCGTCGCAAACCAGATGTTTTTCGTAAGCGCATGCACACAAACATGAAACTGAAAGCAGTGCTGCTCCGCTGAACTGTGCATGCAGACAAACGCGGAACGCTTGTGTGATCGCACCGCGCCGCTTCTTTGCCATGCTGCAGCATCGCCATGTGATCGCCAGCTAACAGCCGAAGCACGGAGACTCGGGGGACTGTGTGATCGGGCTACCGTGCTTTATTTTGCTCCGGGGTGAACAGCCACGCCCCCCCCACGTTATCTGGCCCGTGTGACCCGTGGCCTTAGTATTCCAACAGGTAGCATACAATGTATTTCCAGTCTTCTAACAGGTAAGTAAGTAAGTAAGCGTTCCATGCGCCTTGGTGTTTAGTCATGCCGGCCACATGACCACGGAAACGTCTTTGGACAGCGCTGGCTCTTCGGCTTTGAAACGGAGATGAGCACCGCAACCCTAGAGTCGGATTCGACTCGCTTTCGAGCAAGGGAACCTTTACCTTTTTTAACAGGTAAGTATACAAATACAGAACAAGTCTACAGTCCAAGTACAAAGCATGTCTGTAGACGAAACTTCGTTTCGTGTATTCTTCCTCAGTAGAAGCTGATTAGAGTATGTCATAAGCATTCATCATGGGTTTCCAAGGTAAGTATCAGCCAAACTGCTTTCCAATCCAATTAGGGGAAGTTTCCGTAGTCTTAAACTGCTGGTATGATGTACTTGCCTGCTCGACATTTGTAGATGCTATACACGTATTACTACCACTCTGATTTGAATAGTACCTAAGAGTTGCTTATTTGAAACCATATTTTAACCATTAAAATCAACCTCCCCCCCCAACTCATATCATTAAAACAAATTAAAGGCTGAGTTCAAATAAATACGAAACATAAAAACAGCATGGTTAGGAAGGAGAGATGGTTGAGGGAATGCCACACAAAATAAAAGAGTCTTTGCCTGCTGGTGGTACAGGAGAGGCGACTCTCCCTGGGGAGGGAGTTACAGAACTTTGGTGCCACCACTCTCCCCTCTGCTATTCTTGAGGGGAGATATAAGCAAATTCCTTATTCAGTCAGGTTCTGTGGATGTAATAGAAGAGAAATAGAAACTGTTGAGCACGTACTCTTACACTGTAAATTGTTAAATGACATTCGAGTGGAATTTATAGAAGCCCCCCTTAAGTTGGTAGCAGGCCAATCGGATAGAATCAAGGTACAATTTCTCCTTGCTTCACGAGATCCGGAGATCATTGAACTAACCGCTAAGTTTCTCCATGGTTTTATAAAACGGAAGAGTGACCCTGATCATATTAATGATTCTTAATTTATAAGTCAAAAAGCGTAAGTTTAAAAGTTAGAATGCCAATTTATTTTATGATTCAGGCATCTTTTGTATGGTCAAATCTAGCTTGTGACAACTTGAGTTAGGCCTGACATAGCCACGACTATCTATTTTATAATTTCTTTTGGATTGTATTATTGGTTAGTGCTTCTAATATTGTATGCCAATAAAAGGTATTTGAATTGAATTGAATTGAATTGGTGCCACCACCAAGAAGTCCCTCTCCTGGGTCGCTACCCGCCTAACCTCAGAAGGCAGGGGGGGGACCCAAAGCAGGGCCTTCAAAAATAACCGTCGTGGTTGGGTGGGTTCATAAAGGAGTCGGTGGTCCTTCAGGTAGGGAAGGGTTTGTAATAGGGTTGCCAGTCCTCAGTTGGGGGCAGGGGGTCCCCTGGTTTGGAGGCCCTCCCCCCACTTCAGGGCTATCAGAAAGCCGGGGGGGGGGGAATGTCCACTGGGTGCACCATTATAACCTATGGAGACCGGTCCCCATAGGATATAATGGAGAATCGATCCATGGGTATCTGGGGCTCTGTGGGGGCTGTTTTCTGAGGTAGAGGCACCAGATTTTCAGCACAGCATCTGGTGCCTCTCCTCAAAAAAATTCCCAGGTTTCAAAAAGATCGGACTAGGAGGTCCAATTTTATGAAAACCAAAAGGAGGTGCCCCCATTCTCCACTATGTCCAACGGAGGGAAGGCATTGAAAAGGAATGTGGTTCCTTCAAATGTGATGGCCAGAACTCCCTTTGGAGTTCAATTGTGCTTCTTCTTTCCCCTCTCCCGGAGGCTCCCGGAAGGTGATGTCTCCACCCCCAAAGTCTCCTGGCTCCACCCCCAAAGTTCCTAGATATTTCCTGAGTCGGACCTGGCAACCCTTGTTTGCGAGCTGTTCTTAAACAGAACCAACAGCCCATCTGCCGCAAAAGGGATGGAGGAGGATTCTGGGCGGGAGAGTCGCGTTCTCAGAGCCGCTCACTCTATAGTTTGGGAGCACCCCGTGGCTCTTTGGAACACCGTTCCCCGTTGTGGCAGCCAACACCACACATTCCAGGGAAGCAGGCAAGGCCTGGGGCGTGTGGTTGACGGGGTTCCCATCTGCTTGGCTGTAAAGAGGGGCTGTGGCTCAGTGGCAGAGCATCTGCTTAGCATGCAGAAGGTCCCAGGTTCAATCCGCAGCAGCACCTCCAGTTAAAAGGACCAGGCAGTAGGTGATGGGAAAGACGCTCTGTCTGAGACCCTGGAGAGCTGTAAAGAGGGGCTGTGGCTCAGTGGAAGAGCATCTGCTTAGCATGCAGAAGGTCCCAGGTTCAATCCGCAGCAGCACCTCCAGTTAAAAGGACCAGGCAGTAGGTGATGGGAAAGACGCTCTGTCTGAGACCCTGGAGAGCTGTAAAGAGGGGCTGTGGTTCAGGGGGAGAGCCTCTGCTTGGCATGCAGAAGGTCCCAGGTTCAATCCCCGGCATCTCCTGTTAAAAGATCAGTTGGTAGGTGATGGGAAAGACCTCTGCCCGAGACCCTGGAGAGCTGCTGCCCGTCTGAGTAGGCAAGACTGACCTGGATGGACCAAGAAGCTGATTAAGGCAGCTTCATGTGTGTCTTTCAGGTATTCCGTGGAGGGATTTCTCGACAAGAACAAGGACACCCTTTTCCAGGACTTCAAGCGGCTGATGTACAACAGGTATGCAGGCCTTACGGGGCGGTATAAATAACGGCAATAAACCAGTCAGTCACAACTATATCTCCAGACGACAGAGGTCGGTTCCCCTGGAGGAAATGGCAGCTTCAGGCAGTTGGAATGTATGGTGTCCCACCCCAACGGAGCTCCCTTCCGCAGCTCCAGGGCTATTTTTGGGCAGGAACGCACAGGAACGAAGTTCCGGCTGGCTTCCGAGTTGGCCACGCCCAGCAGGAACTCATTAGCATAATAGGCCACACCCAACAGCAGGAACGCATTAGGATTGGCTACATTAGGGGTGTGTGGCCTAACATGCAAAGGAGTCCCTGCTACAAAAAAAGGCCCTGGGTTTTGACAACAAACAAGGTAAACAGAATAACTGTCAGCAAGCTGCCAAAAGATTTATAGGGGTCTGAGGTATATGGTCACCCCTAGGTTCCCCCCCCTTCAATATGCGCTTGGCCTTTCATGCGCATGTCCCCTTTAGCTCTCAGCTCTACATTCCTTTCTGGGTATGCAAGTCCTGCTTTGCTGCAACGCTATCTACTCAAGGCCGCAGGTGGAGAGCCGAGGAGCTTCGCTGTGTTTTAATTAGGGGAAGCCGTGGGAATGGTTTTCTTGTTTATTTCTAAGGAACCGTTGCATCTCATGGTTTTAGGCGCGAGTGGCGATGAGCCGTGCGCGCGGGAACCCTGATTATTGGCTGATGTGATTATGAATTTGCTTTAACCTTCCATGCCCCTTGGATTCATGTTATTCCTGACACTGCTCCTGTACATGTGCTTCATGGCTTCAATAAACGTATAACCTTCTAGTAAGAGTGTACTTCGTTGTAGTCGTGGGGACCTGACATTGTGTTAGGAATCCCTTCTTCCTCATCTCAGCGCATCTATCGACATCGATATGAGCGACGGAGAGGGGAAGGTTACCCCTGATGGGTCTGAACCGGGCGACCCAGATGTGGGGGGAAACCCCCCAGAGACCACGGTGGAGACCCCGGTGACCAGCGCGCAACCGACGTACACGCCGGCGCATGGGGCCATCCCGAAGAGAAGCTCGGCAGCCCCGGTCTACCCCCGTCCTTGGGCAACCTGGCGGGCCTATTATGCTAATGAGTTCCTGCTGGGCTTTTTCTACATAAAAAGCCCTGCGCAGCGCCACCCCCTAATCTCAAGAATTTCCCAACCTGGAGTTGGCAACTCCACGTCCTGCGCAACACGATTACTGCCACCACATTCTCTGGACCAGGCTGGCTTGAAGCCAACGTTTCCTCCTGCCTCGTTCTCGAAGGCCCCGCCCTGACGCCTCCTCTGTCGTTTCTCCCCAGCGCAGACCCCGTCCTGCGAGAGATGTGGCCCGAGGGGAAGCAGAGCATCACCGAGGTGACCAAGCGGCCCCTGACGGCTGCCACTCTCTTCAAGAACTCCATCGTGGCCCTGGTGGAGAACCTGGCCTCCAAGGTAATGGCGGCTCCTCCCTTGGCTTCATAACCCAAGGCCGTGCGGGTCCCCCGGCTGGCTTGGTGGCATTTCCCAGATGTAACACACATAACACGCGCACACTTAACTTGTCGGAGAACCAACCTCTCTATGTTTCCGCGTGGCATAGGAGCTGTGAGGGGATCTGGGGGTCTAGAATGAAAGGGCTCTTCTGCATTCTCATTTCTTCTGCGGACTCTGATCTGGGAGAGTCGCGTTTGATTCCCCACTCCTCCACTTGCAGCTGCTGGATGACCTTGGGCAAGCCATAGTTCTGTCAGAGCTGTTCTTGAAAAAGAGCCGTTTCCGCCAGAGCTGTTCTCGAAAAAGAGCAGTTTCTGTCAGAGCTCTCTCAGCCCCACCTACCTCACAGGGTGTCTGTCTGTTGTGGGGAGAGGAAGGGAAAGGAGTTTGTAAGCCGCTCTGAGACTCCCTTGGGTAGTGAAGGGCGGGGTATAAAACCAATCTC